CCGCAAGTATTTAAGTTTGGTCTCTGTTTTCCAGAGCTTTCTATTTCCTAGGTTGAGTGGCTGCTAAACGCCTCTGGAACAGGAACTTCGAGTCACCCCAAAACTTCCCAGAGCTAGCACCAGCAACAGCCTATCCCCTGAGTTATCATACATAAGACACAAGCCTGAATAAACACTGTCCCGAGATCAGGTGACTTTTTTCATTCCTGCTTTTTTTTTTTTTTAATCAGTTCTCATTTCAGCACAATAAACATCTTTGAAGGATTGAACGTTTTCAAGACATATTCCCTCATTGGTAAAGCTGGGAGTAGGATCAAAAGGTATATAACAATGGAGGAGGGAACCATATGTAGCTCTTAATTGGGGGGGGGGGGGATCTAAGGAGATGATTCTGTCCTGAAAAAGGAAAGGGAAAAAAAAAGAAAAAGAAGCAGCAGCAGCCATGGAAATCTGTTGATTTGGAATGGCAGGGTGGGGAAAGAGGCCTCTCGTCATTCTGTATCTCTGTCTACTGCCTAAAACCAAAAGAAGCCCGTTCATTCAAATGTTCACGTATGCGTGAAACTCTCTATCAAATGCCTCCCGCCTGCCAGGCCATCCTGGGTGTCTTTTTCGGGGAAAGAAAGGGAGCAAAATTTGGGAGATCTTCCCAGGAATTCTCACTTGAAAAAACATCTGGATTTGTCACATCTCTCGTGCAAAACAAACAGGGGTTTTGGTAAATGATGTGTATGTGAGGTAGAGCCCTAGGGAGACCAAAACAAACAAACAAAATAAACATAAACAAAACCTCCAACTGTCAATGCGATTTCGCTGGCTCCACGGTTCCTCACAAGGTGTGCAGGACAGACTTGTGGGTTCTTTCAGGATCCACGGTAAGCAAAGCAGCACATGGGGAGCCCAGCACCCTCTCCGGCACTTCCCCCAATGCCCCACTGCAGGCACATACCCCCCTTTCCTTGACACCCCTGGAAAGAGACCTAGGAATCTCACTTGTCTAGATTTTGCTTCCTGCTCATGATTACTCCCCTCCCTTGCAGTCTAGCTTCCCCGAAACCAAATGAGTTGTTCTGTAACTGCACCGGAAAATCAGAATTTATTGTACATATGTTTGTGTTCCACTTAATAAAAAAACCTATATTTTAAGATAAACTTTGTTAGTAATTCATGAGGTAAGTGACTATTTATGCTAATCAGGCAGAAATATATTCTCAAGCATAGCGCATTACATAAATTTGAATGCAAAATGTTCAATTATGAAGTAAATACAGGTAATGCAAATAATAAATTACCTCTAATAAAAATTATAAAAGATGTGTCTTCAAAGAGAGAGCGGCTTTAACTTACAACTGTGAATTGCTTAAAGAGAAAAGAATTAATAAATGCTGAATTACTCTGATGATTATTTAGCACATAATTCACCTATTCATAACGACTCCTAGTAATCAGACTGTTGTTTCACATTCTCCAATATGAGGCAAGACTGTTTCCTCAGCAATTTTGCCCTTATCAGATTATCTCGTCTGATTCTATTAATTTTCTTCCATGAATCTGCTAACAGTGATTTGTGATTTACTTACCCTGCTAACTAAAGACTGCGAAAAGGATTTATCTAACACTAGACCTAAGAACACTATATGTCTTATCATTCAGTTACTCTGAGCAACTCTTTCCTCAAATCAATTTAGTTGCTTTCATAGTGAAATTTAGTGGACGCTGGTTAGTTCTGCACCATAAAATCGGCTCCTGGATAAACAAAGAGTTCAGACACTACACTTGATGCATCTTGTTCTTTTTAGATTATATACGTCTGATTCTGACATGATATACCTGAGTTGCTATAACTCACAATCAGGAAAAAATATATTATTTTTAGCTTTTGATCATTATAATTTGGACATGGACAAGTTTTTTTTTTTTTCCTTCCTTTCTTCCTTTTTGCATGAAGTTCTTCTGTATGTACTGACATGAAACTACAATTGTGTTTTTGATGTTATGGTTTCACAATCTTTTACAGGATTCGACCCATACCCTCCCCCCTCCACATTCTTCTATAAATATTCACTGCTTTCAGAAACTTTAATACTACTGGTTTGAATTGGTCAATAATGACAAACGCATGGTTTCTAAATTACTCTATATTGTTCTACAGAGATTACTAGAGTATATATAGCAAGGGGATATTAAGCAGTAAGAAAACACAGTTCACATTGTATTTGGATTAGACTGGCTTGGAAGAAGTGAAACAAACAATGTTCGCAAAGAAGTCTAAAGAAATGTGGCCTTGCTGTAATTGTAGAGAATCAAAAATCTGAATAGTACTAATTAAAATGAGAGAGCTCAATTGTTACAAAAGAAACGCCGCTAACGGAGGACTGTAAATGTTTAGACACCCCTGTGAATCACTAAATAATAAAGGAAAAAGGACAAACATGAGAATTAAGTTATAAGAGCACTACTGCTACACATCTAAAAAATAATTCTAGTCTTCTCTTTTTTTTTTTTCAAGAGAAAATGGGAGACTGTAAAAGACTCTGCAGTAAGAGAAAGAAAAATACCATGGCTTGACAGCAGTGTACAAAAATAAACCATAAAAAATGTGCAGATAATAATACATTTAGCTGCCCAAACATGGGCATTTAATTTCTAGAAATGATATGTAATTGCAACAATTAGGTGCATGGCCATGAATCTGTATCCCGTGGTCTTCATCATTAGCAAACTTTGTTTATAAATGTTGTTTATTTATAAATGTAGCAGTTTCAGTGTTCCTGGCCAAAAATACTTTCAAGAGAGGCAGGGATCCTATCTTAGAGATTTTAACAAAAAATGTGATGCAAAAGGATAAAAAAAAAAAACCCACAACACCCAATTATTACAAACAAAAAAAATGAATTAATTCTTCCTAAATACACTTGAATTCATATTTTACATGAAAAATATAAACTTCAGATTTTTGTGGCTAATGATAAAAAAGGAGGGGGGGGGCTGGAAAACAATCACTGTGGACAATGCTAAGTGACCTAATATGTTTATGTAATTTAAGCAGTGGATTTTCCTTTGAATACATAAACTATAATCTCTTCGCCTCATTACCAGGTAAAATACTGTTTGAAAGGAGGAAAGCAAAGGAATTCTGTTAGGTTGCATAAATATTGACATAATCTTCACTCTTTCTTCCTAACTGGCAATCGACATACTTCATTCCAACCCTACAAAGTGCTCCCATAAAACCAAAACTACCCTTATAAACAGCTTCTCTGCAGCAATAATGAAAAGGAGAAAGTGCCTTCCTGGAAAATGCCAATGGCACTGGCCTTTTAGGGTTATGGTGTGCCTACAAACCTTTTGGAGAGTCTCTCATTAGGGATTCTGGGTTTGCTGGAACAGAAGGCTGCCAGCATCAGAGAAATTAACAGGAGTCTAATCTGGTGTAAGAAGCGAATGAGTGACACCTAAGGTCTCATTATAAATAGTAAGGCATGCTGTGGGGTGGGTGAGAGCAGTTCTGAAGTGCAATGTTCAAGAAGCTGGCTTAATATATGACTAAGTGTCAGAAGTCAGGTTTTCTGAGAATTACTTTTCAGATAAACAACTTTATAGCACTGCACTTAATCATACTTACTAGAGACATCTCATTTATCACCGAATTACAAGTAACTTTAATTCTATTGATATTGCCATAAAGCCCGTTGAAAATCCATCCCGGCACTTTTAAAGAGTTTGGGGCCCTGTTACGCGTGGGATTCACTTGCAAAAGATCTCAGCAGAATCATACTCCGAAGGCTTCTGTGTCTCCTGGCCTCTTTGTCGAACCTCGGGGGTGGGGTGGGGGGGGGAGGCAGTGGGGGAAAGAGGATTCCCGCAGCCGCCAGCTCAGTCCTTAGCCCCTTTCCGACAAGGTCGGGTTCTCTCCCACCGCAAACTTTCGGTGCCTCAGTCCCCCTCCCACCTTGAGAAACCAGCTTCCTTTTTCACTTCAACAAAACTGGACACGGATCAATTTCAACTGACCTTTGCCGAAAGGTGGCGCTGTTGAGGTAAAAATCCAACAATAGTTTTCACTCGGATTCTTTTGCAGGCTTTTCAGATTTTTTTTTTTTTTTTTTTTTTTTTAGTGCGCCCTCCTAGCGTCTCCCCCTCCCATAAAGTAAAATAAATATGATTAACACCAAATGCATTTCATTAATTGGAGGAATCAACAGTCTCAATATCCAAGTAGGCGGGCTGGTCTTCCACACGTTGGGTCGGCTTGGCGCACGCTTGCTTTCCCCCAAATAAATCTCGGTTTCTCCGACTTGCCTATCGCTTTAAAATCTTAGAAACAGTTGTTGGTTCTTTCTTTTCTCTTTTCTGTTTCTTTCTTTCCTTTTTCTTTTTTTTTTCCTTTTCTTTTCTCTTTCTTTCTTTCTTTCTTTCTTTTTTTTTTGCATAAGTTTTAAAAGAATCGGTCTAGAAAACTGAATAGTTATTAGCATCTGCAACGGCGGGGGGACGGGGGGAGGGGGAGAAGCAGACCCCCACCCCACCCCCACTGTGGATTTCCGGGCTGGTCCGAGAAACCGCGGCTGAAAACTTAACCCCTTCGAGGGGAGGCGGCGACCGCTGGGGTGTTGCCCACCCCCGCCCCAACACATGCATCTCTGCACCGCCGAGTCTGAGATCATTAAACGAAATGTGAAAGTGCAAAGGGCGCGCGGGACCCTGATAAACAAGGGTCGGATTTCATGAGGGGGTGAGCGAGAGTGTGCATGAGCGTGTGCGTGTGCGTGTGTGCGCGCGCGAGGGAAGTGGGGGGCGCGAGAAGAGAGGAAGGGAGAGTAACGTGAGCAGGACCGTGCAGGACGACCTCGGGCGGGAGTCGCAGCCCCAGGGCCGAGCTCCCCGCTCCCGGCACCCCGAGTCCCCTCGCGCCCGCGCCCGCGCCCGCGCCCGCCCCCCCTCTCCGCGCGTCACGGCCCCCGAACAACTTATTTCCCCTCCTTCAAAGAGGGCGATGAAACGGGCTTCCTGTGCACCCCGCGCGGACCGCGAACCGGGCCCGGGGCCCCCTGAGCGCCGCCCCGCCAGGCGGCTCCCGCGCCGAGCCGGGCCCCGCAGCTCCCCGCCCCGCAGCCCTGCGCCCCAGCGCGCGGGTCCCGGGGAGAGGGACAAAGAGTTTGCGCTCTTTGGGCTAAGTTTGAGCTCCCCGCACGGCTACGCTCCGGGAAGGCAGGTCCCCTTGGGCAGACTCCTGGGTGCCTAAGGCGGGGCGAGCAGGGAGAGCTGCCCCGCCAGTCCGCGGTCCAGGGGACGGGGGTGCCCGGGATGCGGAGCCGGGCCGAGCCCCGCAGAGCGAGCGGAGGCCAAGCCGGCGCCCCGAAGGCAGGCCTCCGCCGCGCTCCGACGGGAGCAAAGCGGCCTCCCGGTGCCCCCGGGTTCCCGCGGCCCCGCCGCGCGCCTCCTTCCCCTCCCGCACCAAACTTTGCGCCGGGCTGCGCTCCCTCCCCGGGAGGCCGCGGCGCGGGAAGGGTTAAGGCCGCTCGTCCCAGCTGACAGTCAGCTGATTGGGCCCTGATTGACAGCTCCGAAAAGTTTCCTTGTTTCTATCTATTATGCTAATCGCGGCCGCTCTCGCCGCCTCCCATTGGCCCCGAGTACCAGTCAATTTCCCATTTGGGCCTGACGTCACAAGTGCTATAAAACTCAGCAATTGCTTTAAACTCTTCTTGCTTGGATCAGAGGCTTTAAAATCTTTTTTCATCTTCGAGCTGTGGCTCGGGCCGCTCTTCGGCTCGGCCTCCCCCCCCCTCCTTTCGCTCTCTGCCTCGCCTTTTTCCCCGGGACTTCGCTATTTTGCTTTTTTTTTTTTTTTTTTAAAAAAAAAAAAAAAAAAGGAGGCAAGAAAGAACTAAACTCCCCCCCTCCTTTTCCTCCAGCCGGGCTGCACCTCTGTCTTGCACTTTGCACGGAGAGAGCGCGCGAGGGGGAGAGAGAGAGAGAGACAGAGAGAGAGACAGAGAGAGAGGAAAGAAAAAAATAAAAAGCAGGCAGAAGAGAAGGCGAGAAGCATGAAGTGTTAACTCCCCCGTGCCAAGCCCGCGCCGCCGGACAGCCGCCCGCCGCGCCTCCCTCCAGCCCCGAGCGGCCGCCGCGCGCGCCCCGCCTGCAGCCCGGGCCGGCGAGCCGAGCCCTCCCTATGCACAGCGCGCAGCGGAGCGGCGAGCGGGGGACGCCGCGCACCCGGCCGGGCTCCTCCGGCTTCGCCGCCGCCGCCGCCGCCGCCGCCGCCGCCGCCGCCGCAGCCCGCGGAGGACCTTCCCGAGCCTGAAGCCGCCGGCTCGGCACGCACGGAGGCGAGCAGGCGAGGAGGGGCCGGGGCGAGCGAGCGGAGCCAGCGAGCGAGCGAGCGAGCACATTGGCGTGAGCGGGGGGAGGGAGGGCGGGCGCGGGGGGCGCGGGCAGGGCGGGGGGTGTGTGCGCGCTCGGAGGTCTCGGGCCAGCCACCGCCGCGCGAGCTAGACGCGCCCCAGCCCGGCAAGCTGGCTCACCCGCTGGCCACCCAGCACAGCCCGCTGGCCCCTCTCCTGCAGCCCATCTGGCGGAGCGGCGGCGGCGGCGGCGGCGGCGGCGGCGGCGGCAGGAGAATGGCATCAGAACTGGCAATGAGCAACTCCGACCTGCCCACCAGTCCCCTGGCCATGGAATATGTTAATGACTTCGATCTGATGAAGTTCGAAGTGAAAAAGGAGCCGGTGGAGACCGACCGCATCATCAGCCAGTGCGGCCGTCTCATCGCCGGGGGCTCGCTGTCCTCCACCCCCATGAGCACGCCGTGCAGCTCGGTGCCCCCTTCCCCCAGCTTCTCGGCGCCCAGCCCGGGCTCGGGCAGCGAGCAGAAGGCGCACCTGGAAGACTACTACTGGATGACCGGCTACCCGCAGCAGCTGAACCCGGAGGCGCTGGGCTTCAGCCCCGAGGACGCGGTCGAGGCGCTCATCAGCAGCAGCCACCCGCTCCAGGGCGGCTTCGATGGCTACGCGCGCGGGGCGCAGCAGCTGGCGGCGGCGGCCGGGGCCGGGGCCGGGGCCGGGGCCGGCGCCGGCGCCGGGGCCTCGCTGGGCGGCGGCGGCGAGGAGATGGGCCCCGCCGCCGCCGTGGTGTCCGCCGTGATCGCCGCGGCCGCCGCGCAGAGCGGCGCGGGCCCGCACTACCACCACCACCACCACCACCACGCCGCGGGCCACCACCACCACCCGACGGCCGGCGCGCCGGGCTCCGCGGGCAGCGCGTCCGCCTCGGCCGGGGGCGCGGGCGGAGGCGGCGGCGGCGGCGGCGGCGGCGGCGGCCCGGCCGGCTCCGGGGGCGGCGGCGGCGGCGGCGGCGGCGGCGGCGGGGGGCGCGGCGGGGGCGGGGGGCGCCCTGCACCCGCACCACGCGGCCGGCGGCCTGCACTTCGACGACCGCTTCTCCGACGAGCAGCTGGTGACCATGTCGGTGCGCGAGCTGAACCGGCAGCTGCGCGGGGTGAGCAAGGAGGAGGTGATCCGGCTCAAGCAGAAGAGGCGGACCCTGAAAAACCGCGGCTATGCCCAGTCCTGCCGCTTCAAGAGGGTGCAGCAGAGACACGTCCTGGAGTCCGAGAAGAACCAGCTGCTGCAGCAGGTCGACCACCTCAAGCAGGAGATCTCCAGGCTGGTGCGCGAGCGGGACGCGTACAAGGAGAAGTACGAGAAGTTGGTGAGCAGCGGCTTCCGAGAAAACGGCTCCAGCAGCGACAACCCGTCCTCTCCCGAGTTTTTCATGTGAGTCTGCCCCGCGGTCCCAGCTGTAGCCACCTCCATGAGAGCTCCGCGGGGGTCCGACTCGGCCGTGGGCTTGCTAGCTCCAGAGCCGCGCTCGCCGCCACCTCGCCCCCCCGCCGAGGTCGCCCGCTGCCCCCGCACGCGCGCGCGCACACGCGCGCACACACACACACACGCGCACACACAAGCACCCTGCTCCCTGCTCCCTGCTCCCTGCTCCCTGCTCCCACTTGGCCGTGGCGGTGGCTGGTTTTAAACGGGGAGGGAGTGGATGTCTGGCTCGTGGATTGCCAATCTGAAATTCTCCATGACTTGCTAGCTTGTCTTCATGGACACCCCCCGACACACACACACACACGCACACGCACACGCACACGACGTTCAGACATCTCAGCACAGGTCCTCATGCTCACCTTTGAAACCTGCATCATTCACAGTGTTGTTTTCTTTTCTCTCTCCCTCTCTTCTTCTTCTTCTTCTTCAGTTCATGAGCTGGTGTTCATTTTCCGTGTGTGTTTTACTTTGTTTGGATTTTTTTTTTTTTTTTGGATTTTACTTTTTGGAGCTTGCTGTGTTGTCCTTTTTCCCAACCTCCATCCTCACACCCTTGCCACTCATCTCCTCAGAGAGAAAAGAAAAGAAAAGAAAAGAAAAAAAAAAAAAAGCTAAGGGTTGTTTTTTTTTTCCCCTCCTCCTGAGTTCTTCATGTGAGATTGAGCTTGCAAAGGAAAAAAAAAATGTGAAATGTTATAGACTTGCAGCGCGCTGAGTTCCACCGGGGTTTTTTTTTTTTTTTAGCATTGTTATGCTAAACTAGAGAAAAAAAAAATCCTCATGAACCTGCCACAATCAAGCCTGCATCAACCTTCTGGGTGTGACTTGTGAGTTTTGGCCTTATCATGCCAAATCTGAGAGTTTAGTCTGCCATTAAAAAACTCATTCTCATCTCATGCATTATTATGCTTGCTACTTTGTCTTAGCAACAATGAACTATAACTGTTTCAAAGACTTTATGGAAAAGAGACATTATATTAATAAAAAAAAAAAAGCCTGCATGCTGGACATGTATGGTATAATTATTTTTTTTTCTTTTTTTTTTTTTCCTTTTGGCTTGGAAATGGACGTTCGAAGACTTATGGCATGGCATTCATACTTTTGTTTTATTGCCTCATGACTTTCTTGAGTTCAGAACAAAAAAGTGCCACCCTAGAGCCTTCTTCCCATGAAAGTTTGCATCTGCTCCAAAACTGCTTTGAGTTACTCAGAACTTCAGCCTCCCATTGTAAATGCACTGAAGGCATTCCTTGTCAAAGATGCCAGAATGGGTTAAAAAATTTGACATGGCAAACGTTAAAAGAACTCTTAATGTTTTCTTTTTAATAAGAATGACACCCCATTTTGGGGACTAAAATTGTGCTGTTGCGGAAAGCAGTCTAAAATTTATTTTTTAAAAAAATGAAATCTGCCCCATTATTTTTGGTTTGTTTTATTTTTATTATTATTTTTTTTTTTTTGGCTTTTGGTCATTGTCAAATGTGGAATGCTATGGGTTTCTAGTATATAATTTAATTCTAGTTTTTATAATCTGTTAGCCCAGTTAAAATGTATGCTACAGATAAAGGAATGTTATAGATAAATTTGAAAGAGTTAGGTCTGTTTAGCTGTAGATTTTTTAAAAGATTGATGCACTAAATTGTTTACTGTTGTGATGTTAAGGGGGGTAGAGTTTGCAAGGGGACTGTTTAAAAAAAAAAGTAGCTTATACAGCATGTGCTTGCAACTTAAATATAAGTTGGGTATGTGTAGTCTTTGCTATACCACTGACTGTATTGAAAACCAAAGTATTAAAGGGGAAACACCCCTGTTTATATCTGTAGGGGTATTTTACATTCAAAATGTATGTTTTTTTTTTCAAATTTAAAGTATTTGGGACTGAATTGCACTAAGATATAACCTGCAAGCATATAATACAAAAAAAAATTTGCAAAACTGTTTAGAACGCTAATAAAATTTATGCAGTTATAAAAATGGCATTACTGCACAGTTTTAAGATGATGCAGATTTTTTTACAGTTGTATTGTGGTGCAGAACTGGATTTTCTGTAACTTAAAAAAAAAATCCACAGTTTTAAAGGCAATAATCAGTAAATGTTATTTTCAGGGACTGACTTCCTGTCTTTAAAAAAAAAAAAAATGAAAAGTAAATCTTACCACAATAAATATAAAAAAATCTTGTCAGTTACTTTTCTTTTACATATTTTGCTGTGCAAAATTGTTTTATATCTTGAGTTACTAACTAACCACGCGTGATGTTCCTATGTGCTTTTCTTTCATTTTCAATTCTGGTTATATCAAGAGAAAGAATAATCTACAATAATAAACTGCATTTTTTTTTGATTCTGTGCTTAGTTTCTTAGTGTACAGTTTAACTGGACCCAAAATCACATTAGAAGTGTAAAATGCATCCTTTTCTCCAGAGGAAGGATTAATGGAAGCGTAGGGAGGCAATAATAATTCAGGGTGAAACTTAGGCTGTTTTGTGAGGTGGGAGGCCAGTCCCTTTGAATAATTAGCTATATTTAATATAAATGTCAATCACGACGTCTCAAAATGCAGGCCCCCCTCCCCCAACCCCAAAGTTTTTGGTTTTCAAGTGAGTTGAGACATCATTGCCCTCTGGTGAAAACAAACAAACAAAAATCCCAACCAGAGAGTAGTAGGGCCTTCTCAGCACCGCCCTGAGCTTCTGGTCCAGCAGCAAGCCCATCTAGAGAGAAATGGGCCAGGCAAAGAAGGCATGACAGAGGTGGCTTGGGCACATATGCATTTAATGGTAAAGATAAACAATCCTTGCCTTTTGGCTAAAATTGATTATTTTTCCTTCTTCCCTTACGCACCATGATTTTCTTGTTAGCAAGGCCTGACCCGACTTAACATCAACACTTTGGACAAATCAAATTGTTTGTTTGTTTTTAACTTCGAAGGTCATTTGTCTTAAATAGGAAAAAAGAAAAACCCACCCCTTACTTACATAACCCCAAGTACATATCTGGATTTAAACTGTGTTATTAAATCATATTTCACTGTGTGTGTGTGTGTGTGTGTGTGTGTGTGTGTGTGTGTTTAGCAGAGGGCTTCTCCGCTTAAGACAAGCTGGCAATGATTTCAGATCACCTTAACTCCAGAAATATAAGCAAAAAGTAACGCCTTCATAGAATAAAAGCTGTGCTTTGATTGATCAGTATTTACCCCCAAATAGGCTGTGTATGGAGGAGGCTAACTTCAAAGATGACTTGGAAAGTCTCAAACTACCTTCACTAACAGCGTTGACCTATTTTAAAATGACATAAATTCATGCAACTAATGTTACAGATTCATGCAGTTTGCACTCCTAATCAACTTCCCCTAGAATGCTAAAAGAATGTTAGACAAAGCCAACACTGTTTTGAAAATATAGCCAAACACGATGACTTTTGTTTTATTTCGGTTTGGGTGTTTTTGTTTGTTTCTTTCTTTCTTTCTTTCTTTTTAAAGATAATATTGCAACTCTGAACGAAGGCCTTATTTTGAAGAAAACAGGTTGTGCTTGGCGCTGCTGAGTTCTGGCCAGTTGATCATCCTGTCTTCCTTCCCCTTTTTCACAGAGCATGAAGACAGTGCATCCCCACTGTATTTTGACCTTCCTTTATGTGCCAGTTTGGATAGAACTCCTGACTCTACACTTAATTTCCTTAAGAAAAGTCTTAATAGTAAACGTACTTCCATTTCCTTAAAGTTAGCTGTTCTCTGCTTCTGAGGTTTTGGGGTTTTTTTTCCCTCTGCTCCCAAGGAGGAGATACGCAGATTCCCCCTGAAGGGGCAGAAATGGAGATATCGTTTATTGCAAAAAAGCTCAGCCTCAGATGAAAGCTTATAATAGGCAAACACTCAAAATAAGAGTGCCATACAGGCTGGACTTGCTGAAGTCACCTGAGGAACAGGACCTGGGAGAAACCCGGTTGTGCCACAATTAAGCATTTTGATAGGACTCTCTCTACTATAATGAGCGAGCTTTGGCCCCAAACATTAGAAAGCAGAGAGGCGCTAGCAAAAATGGGATTTGGGTGGCTGGCTTTAAGAGAAGGTTAACCCCTTCGTGAAAGGCAGCTTTAGATACAACCGTTACTAAAAACTTTCAAAGGTAGTATGAGTGGCAAACACAAATACGTGTGGTTGTTTGTTGTTGTTGTTGTTGTTGTTTAACAAAAAAACCTAAATTCTGCCTAAGTGTCCCTAGTAGAAATAAGTCTCTAAATTAAAAATAAGTAAATAAGCAAATAAATCAATAAATGGTGTAAGGAAATCTAGCTTTCCCCTTCCACTGCATCTGAGTCTTTGTCTAAAAGTGTTAAAATTCCTTTCATTCCAATTACAGAACTAAGCCCACTCGCAAGTTGGAGCCATCAGTGGCAAATGCCACATTTTGGAAGCCCCAGCCATGTGTCCTTACCAGTGTATTCACGAAATGAAATTTATGTGGGAAGCGTACATTAAAAATTTATTCTTATTATTATTATTATTGTTTGCAGCCTCGGAGAACACCCTGCCCCTGACTTCCTCCGCTCAGTCTACTTTTTTTTTTTTTAAGAAAAATGATCGTGGTAGAGATGAAGGGTAGTAAACGTGTAACCTCCGTGCTGTTAACTGCGCCTCTGGTCTGAGGGTCTTAGGTGCCAGCCTGGAGGAAGGCGCACCGGTGCTTCTGGCTTTACCGTGCGCAAAACTAAATAGGTGCCTTTGTTTCCAACCTGCGATATTAGTTTGAAAAACTCACTGAAATTGGAAGGAGATCTGTATGTGCATTTATAAGAAGAGAAGTTCCCCAGAAGGTAACCGCATCTTTGAAGCATATGTAGACAGGCACACTCTAAATAGTACTTTTTCACACTTCATTGTTTCTCTGGCAGATAATTTTACTGAGAAGAAAAATATACTTGCCTCCCCCTCCCCAAGCAGATGCCACGGGCAGAAGCTTTAGCCGGGCCCCAGCACCCTGGCTTTCTGGTGGGCCCTGGATAGTAGTATATTTATCAGTGATGTCAAACCGTGTTCATTTATCAGACGTAGCTGTAAATGAACGCAGCGTGTGGCAAAACACAAAGTTAGTTAAACCACACCCTCCATGGGCTGCTTTTTCCACTTCTCTGCTCCCAGGCCATTCACAAAACCACCTCCCCTGTGTTCCCCTACTTTTTGCACATTTTCTTTGGTAAAAAAAAAAAAAAAAAAAAAAAAAAAACACACACGCAAAAAAAAAAGTGTGACAGTTTTTCACACTGCATCTGACACAGTAATAGATCGACATCCAAATAGGCAGAGATTCTAGTTTCTGATCTCGGTGAGGAAATGTCTAGATACCATGTTTATCCGCCTCGATGCCATAACCATCTGGGCCCCTTTCCACACGGGCTGCTCCAAATAACCCTATTTATTATGGGATGCCAGATTCTAGCGTCCTGATCTTTTCCCCTTTATCCCTTTACCCCAGCAGTTTTTATTCAGCAATGTCCCTTCTAGATACCTCCTCTCATATAGGACCTCCCCTATGCCAAACCACCAGCTTTCCTGCTCAACACAATAAACAGAGGGCAAACATGAGCCAGGGCCGCCTCCGTAGCTGTGTCCCCAGCATTTCCCTGCCCAAATAACAAGTTGCTTCTGACACCAAGGGTGCCAGAGCATATAGTATAGTTGGGAGGATTTTGTTGATGTTGCTGTTGCTTTGTTTAGGACAACTTACTTCCGTATTCACACACTCTTGGCTTTAGAAAATGTACTCCTCCGGTATTCTAGGCCAATCGATATTTTTAAAAGTCTGCTTGCCACACAGGTATCTTCTACTTTTTTTTTTTTTTTTTTTTTTTTTTGCCCGTCAGTAGTTAAAGCCTAACTGAGGTAGGTTGGAGGCCCAAATACATGAGTGACAAACTTCAGCCATCTGACTTCTGTGCCAGTAAAGCACGCAGCCAGGCTCCTGGCCCAATTTTTCATGTAAACATGTATAAGAGGGAAGGGAGGCCGGATTCCTCCTCTCTACATGGCTGATTTGCAAGGCTCCCCACCGCAATTTACTTTCATTTGATTTAAAAAAAAATAATAATGTTGCCCCTTTCTATGAAGAAATGTCTTAGTTTTCTTGGAGAAGATTTATTTACGGTGAGAGGCTATCATTTCCACCACTTCTGATTATTCCTCAGGACGCTGAATGAATAATTGGGAGTTGGTGTCTCTTCCTTGTTGTTTGGAAGAAAATAAGAGAAACCTGAAGTTTGGTCTCACTCTTGGCTCATCCTAAATCGGAAGGATGCCCCAAGTCCAAGGCAGGGCATCCAGTTCCAGTGGCCATCTGTGTGGAAGGGGGGTCCAGGGTCCTCTGAATCAGGATTGGTTTGTTTGTTTTTTTTGCATTTGTTTTGAAACAGAGCAGGAGCCTTAACCCACCTTCTGATAACACTGCTTTTCTCACTTTGATATAAATCTTCAAACCCTAGACATCAAACAGCCCAGAAAAGGGGGATTCTCTCCAAGCCTTGCTCCGCCCCGGCTCCTGAACAAACCCAGCTCTGTCTAGCACTTTCTCTCCAGCGGGGGTAGGGGACTGGGTGAGAGAATTTCAGTCCCTCAGGCTGTCTCATGATTGTCGGGGCATAAAGAAGTACAGTCCTGCAACAATGCGGGAACATCTTTACCCTTTAGAGAGGGACAAAACAAAAAACAAAGCAAATCAAATTGCTCTGCACGAAGGCGTAGCAAAACCCCAGGCTCCTGTTCTCTGCACCCTCTGTGGGCGGTGAGAAATGAGGGGAGCAAGGGAGAACGGTGGGGAGGACTTTGAAGGCAAGAGTCCCAGGAATAATCCCAGTTGCCAGTCTGAATTTCACTTGCTCGCTGGCTCCAGTCAGGGCCATCGTATGCATGTGCCAGGTGCAAACAAGGTTCGGCTTTCCTTAGGGTTCCCATAGGCTCACATGTGTTTCCTTTTTGAAAACAATTTTGGAGCTTAAACCCAAACTGAGAAATCTGGGAAGATTGTTAATGCCTTAACTTTGGGGGTGTTTATAAATATATCAATCTGAGATTTGACAGCGGTGACTTTGTGGATCAGTCAGACGTGTTATGCCAATATTTATATGGTCCTGCAATAGGTTTTATGGCATGAGGACAGTTTTTATTGTTTAAATTTGAAAGCCCTTTGTGTGTGTGTGTGTGTGTGTGTGTGTGTGTGTCTTCCATAAGTTTGCCCGCTATAACAAGGCTGAGGTAGAAAGGACACATCAACAGCACACAGAAAATCAGATCTTCATATGAATTTGCATCAAAGTTGGACAGTTTTAAGAAACTCACAAAGCACATTTTCC